GAAAATATTTTTTGGGGTGCACACCACCTGCATCCCCCCAAAAAATCCACCTATGATTGCCATCAGATAATTAAGTTACTGTGGTATTAATTATTGTGACTTCGCTTTTGGCTATTCTGTATTTTAATGCCTTGTCCCATGTTCTGTGATGTCCGCAATATAACCAATAATTCCTGCAAGACAAAAGACAACAATCATATTACACTAATATTATTACACATTTTCCCACCTCAAAAACAGCATTTATTATCAAAATTGTGGATACTTCTTCTCATCCATAAAACTGCATGTGTACTAATTAAAGTATTTTTACATAGTACTGAAATGGTGAATCATTATCCACTAGTCTAGTTAATCATAGTTTCTCTGTAACTAATTCCAAAGATAAAAATTTGTTCAAGAGAGAGGAAGGATCCACAGTTAGGTTAATTAATTAATAAAAACATTCTTGCTGTCGTTCTTTGTGTATTCCACTTGGTTGTGGAAATACATGTCCAGTACATGATTTTTTTTGTAAATGATTCTTAATTAGGCCCATTTACACGGTACGATTAGTTGTATACGATTCTTACTCTGGCGTATGTGATCGAATAAACACGCGTACAAACGTCACATTTCAAATTTCGCCATTAGCGAATGAGCAATAACGTGGCATTAGCACTCGTTTTCATTCGTCAGAATTACAATCGTATACAACTAATCGTATCGTGTAAATGGGCCTTTACGGATTGTTTTTAGGGACAAGTCATTATTAATGCTGGGTAGGGGGCTGGAGGAAATTTTTATGAATAGCAAAAATTTCTCATGATCCCTTATTTTTCTAACAAAATCATTTTATCCCCCCCACCTTATAATGAGGCACCATATTTCATAGCCCCACCCCCCCCTCCCCCCAATTCTGAATTCAATGAATCTACAGTAAGTCAGTTGCGTAAGCATTTTTCCTGCCCTCATACTCAGTTTACTTGCAGCTGTAAAGAATATTGTAAATATTGAAAATGATAGCCAAGGTGGACAGGAGTGACTTTAGTTTCACAATAGACACAATAGACAATTCAGACTTTATACCTGAAAAGTTGTCGGCCCTCAAACAAAAAAAACACACATCAGGCCTACTGTCTTTTGCTAATTGATAAAAAAACATTTGTGTCTGGTGGAAGCATTATATTTAAGAGATGGCAGAAGAGACTGTCAACAACATGCAGAAACAAAACATACCAAAAGAGGTCCACTGTGTTAAAAAGCGTAAAGTAGTAGTTGCAAATACAGTGCATGACCCTTTGAGACAAATTCTACGGTGATGATGAGGATGACAATTTCCATATACACTAGTTAGAACACAACTTTAGGTTCAATATATTGGGCATTACTGTTCAATATATGTATGTATACTGTATATATCCATTACTCTTTTGATATTACATGTTACAAACTATTCCATAGATTTTATTTTTTGCCCCCCCCTTTATGTTCAAAATATTTTCTGCCCCCCCCCCTTCACTGGTTAAAAATGTTTTGTGGCCCCTCTAAATTTCCTCCGACCCCCTACCCGGCAATAATAATGACTGGTCCCTTATTGAGCTAGTGAATTTGATTGCATTTCAGGGCTCTGAGTAGTCTGATCGAGAGGCCTCAGATTTAAAATCTTCTGGGTAAGCGTGCCCCCAGACCCGCTAACAGGCTCATGCCTTTGGCAGCTCCCTCACCGACCCACCCACCAATTTCTTGATGACACAATTGATTGTTTCCCCACTTCTGTTTCAGTCTGGCTATGCCACTGCTCACAACATCAAATTTAACAGTTTCAGGACTATTAAAATCAGGAGTTTTGTTTATATGACAAAATCGGACAAGTCAATTTATTGTATGCGGACCATTAACAGTCAGTAGCGTAGCCAGCCCGACTATTTAGTCCCGCTATGCAAATATTTTCATGTTCATTGACTGTGAAAACAATCAATTTCTAAAGAAATGAATAATGATAATAATTTTGAATTTGCATAGCGGGACTAAATTGTCGGGCTGGCTACGCCACTGTTAACAGTTGACTTGTTAACAGTACACGACTATATGTTGATGTCATATAACAAGTGAATCCAGTGTAGTGGCCCTGGCTATTTTGCCCTCGTTGCTCCCCTCTCTGGCCTTGTGCTTAATCCTGGTCTATATTAAGTGTATTAAATTAACTAAGAAATTATTTTCACCGGAAAAATCTGTGTAAGACACATCCCCAGGGCTAAAACAAAACAGTAAGTCTTATGACCACAAATTTTACAAGGTTTTTTATGACTTTAATGTCCAATATTGAAATTAAAAAAATTTCGTACTATCCATCCCATGAATCTTACCTGTGAAACGAATTACTCGTCCTTTTATGTAAAGTAAAGTAAATTGTTGCATCAGCAAGTGGAGCAAAACGGCACTTTAATTTCTTCCAAGTTGAAAA